TTTCGCAGACTCAATCTTGTCATGGATTTATCATTGACTAGGACAAGACTGCCTAACCAAGATCAATTTTATTCGTCACTACTTTCAAGAGCTATACGTAGTTACAATTCGCTGTTCCTATACACCAACCGGTCCAACCGTATTCGTTTCACAAAGAAAACATGTGAACGGATATATTTATTATTCTATGGAGAAGCATATACACATTACGCATGTACAAATATATCGTAAAATAATTGCTCAATTAATATAACGCTRCGGTAATATGATAATTAGCGCAACTAATAGTGTCTGATTGAAAAAAATAAATGATATGGTTTGCTCCTTGCTCGCTTAAAATCCATTTGAATTTCGACCTGTTTTTCAGAAATATCCAAAGTCCATATATGGTTAATCGTACTCAATGAATTTTGTGAAAGATTTACCTATTATGGATTGAAAAGTGAGTTAACAACATTGCTCAGCTGCAGTTGAAAACATGATGTTTTGCTAATATTATTACATAATATGATATCTACAAAACAAAATCTAATGATCCATTTTAATGGTTTTGATTTTGTACCTGGCAGCAGTACTGCAATTCAACGGTGACAATTCGACAATAATCTATCACAGTTTCGTATTTCTGGCGTACTTCATGATGATGCCATTGCCATCATAATGGTGCGATCCTGGCAGACTCATTATCGGGGAAAATATAAGTACGCGCTAAATTTAAATGAGCACCATAAACATGTCGATAGCTGTCTTGTGATTATTTACGATTTTTTTTTTCAGAACGATTTTATCGTTGTCAATGTACACGCGTTGTGAAGCGTAGTGCTCACGAGTTCTTCGATTGCAGATTATTTATTGAGTCTCGACATTCAAAAGTTAATAAATTATGATTTTACAATAGATATAATCCCGAAAAGTATTATTCTTTACCTATACGTAGAATACGTAAAAAAAGTCTCCAAAAATCTTAACGCGTCGACCTGAAATTCGAGTCGATATCGTTAACTACATCGTTGCCAGCTTAAAACACAAATGTATTGTGTAACATCCAACTCAATATCGGTTCTCTCAAAACGCGCATTCAACGCCAAATAAATAACACGGCCCACCCACTCTTTTCTGCAGTACTTACGATAAATACCATATTGCACGTGTTGCTAAAAAAAAAAAAAAATCCCGTTGATTATTTTATGTATTTATTGTTCTACAGGATCTTCTCTCTCTTTGGATTATTTTTGATGGCCGTCGGTACGGGCGGCATAACACCTTGTGTTTTCGCTTTCGGAGGCGATCAATTYCAGTTGCCCCAACGAGGAAAACATCTACTGCACTGCGCTACCAAGTTCTCATTGGCCCATTGACTTAGATTCGTTGTTCTCGTCGTTTTTGACTCCCGAATTGAGACAAGTCCGTTGTCTCGGCAAAGACACGTGTTTTCCG